CGGCCTCCGAGCTTCTGAAACTTTTGTCCAGAAGGCGAAATGTAACATGAATCTCAAAAGACTCTTACCTACTATTCACAGCAGACGTATTATTATTTCACTGGGTTCGATAACCGACGGTGCAAAGACTCTAAGAGGTGTCATGAGAGAAAAAAAATACTCCACGTTTTCCATGAATGATGGGCAAGCAGCTATATCGTATGACATCTATGTGACTTCCGTGTGGAAAAGATTCATTTCAGAGGGGCGAACTATCACTGAGGAATAGACATGTTGCAAGTTTTTGTCTGCGATAAATATTGGCGCATATTTGGCATAGTAATTCCCCACCTTTATCTGTGTAAGAAGTCTTCCAACGTTGACATATTACATACAATCATATTTTGTCTATTTTGGGGATCAAATCACCCACATTAGCAATCCTTCGCCTAATTTTTAGCCCAATTTACGGACACCTCATTGGTTTTTTCCCCCTTTTTTTCTGGGCTAATTATCATGATATTATCATTGTTCTCATTATTATCCATATCATTTTATTAGGGTAACTGCTCCAGTAAGTAACTTTGTGAATTTGAAGCTCATCAGGTTTGGGAAGACTACTTGATGATATCTTGGGAAAAGGTAACTGCACACAACTTTAGGGTATAATGGTAGCGGCCATTTTGGATCTTTCCTATGTCCTCATAATTATCCAGTGACTTAGGCCTACATGTTTTAGAAAATCTTATTTAAGTAAGGATATATATATACATGTAAGTAGAATCCCCAAAATTTACTTTTTCAAAAAATATGTAGGCCTATACCCAAACATGGGAATGAATATATTACACGGCAGGTATTTATGCAAATAAGGCACCCTTCCTGAACAAATTTCAGGTGTCAACCCTTCTAAATTTCTTCTCTAGGGCTATAAGAATCTATCTGCCATAAGCTTGGTGCTTTGGACCAGTCGGTCACGATTCAGACCATAAGCCACCTGACTAACAGAAGAAGTGTAGGTTCTGCTGGTTGTTCCAACAACAAAATGAGTTTATAATCCAGGGTACTTCCATACCTTTCGAGTTAATAATGTTACAAGGCCTGAAAGAAGTAAATTTTTGAAAGTTGCGATGATTTTTTTTAATAGAAACTATGGAACTTACAAGGGGCATTTTCCAGCTAATAAAAAAAGAGTTTTTATAACCACATTTTGAAAACACATCATGTACATGGTATACAAGCAAGAACCCAAGCTGCCAAATGATACTTGCTAACGAGACCATGCGTATCTTTTTAAAACTTGAGACCGGTTTTCCGACCCTCTGCCGATACTGTTTCCAATTCACTTCCCCCACAAGCGTGTAACATTCAGGATGACGGCAGGAATTGAGTGTGAGCCGATCGCCACTCGACATGGATACCGGGCCTCTGGTTTCTACTTGCTAGTCATGAGTGCGCAAACTTCCTGCGTTAGACCCCACTTCCAGGATGTTCACCGCACGGGTTCCAACAGCAAAAGCAAGACAAGCTAAGTATCTTACTGGATCAGGTTTTACACTTATTTCAAAAATAAGTAGTCTAACATGATACAGTGTACCTGAATTGACCTGTACTGTGAACGGTTCAGCAATAATAATGTGGTGCTTATACCGGTATGTACTTTTTACCAAAGGTCTCAAAGCGCTTCACAATTTGGGCGATTCACAATGCAGTGCGCCACCAAGAGTTTGCCATGGAGAGTCAACTTTTCAAGTTTACGGTCGACAAAACATGGCCAATTTGAATGAGTGTCAGTAGACAATTTGAGCTAATTTGTTATAGATTGGGGCATAGCATTCTGCCGCCTTATCAAAAATTACCATATTGATACAAAGAAAAGAAAAGGGCAAACATATACTTGAATCATATGCTTATGAAACTACTGACCGGAAAAACGAACAATTTCAAATGTCCCGCGCTGCAAATTTGTCGACCATCTCCCACAATGCACTGGGAAAAATGAACTCTCTGTGGCAAACTCTTGGTGGCGCACTGCATAGTGAATTGCCCAAATTATTACCCCTGTTCATCAGGCCATGAGACCAGTTTCTGCAGCAGCTCGAGATCAGCGCATTCTGGTCTCTACCCTCACAGGTAAAAGAATGAAATCAAGCAAAAGGATGAAATCCCCCAAAAATCTCAACCACTTTCGTTTTCCAGACACCATTAGGTTTTTCCTCCCTCCTTCATGAAAACACTTATTGACTTGGCAAAAACACCAAAGCATGAAATTTTGAGAAAAAAAAGTACCTAAAAGACATAATGGAAGCTACATGTAGGCACAATAAGTACATATAGTACAGTCCAAACCTTTTCAGCATCCAGTTTTCAAAAATATCTTTAAAATTGTTTTTTTTTTTTGTAGAACTTCAATGCCGAAACTCATGAAAACAACATTTATTGACTTGGCAAAAGCCCCAAAGCATAAAATTTTGAAATAAAAAGTACCTAAAAGGCATAGCGGAAGCTAGGTGCAATAAGTACATGTAGTACACAGTCCAAACCTTTTCAGCATTTAGTTTTCAAAAAGATCTTTAAAGTTGTTTTTATTTTTTAACTTCAAATGCGGAAACTTTCCCTTATCATGTACCGGTAGATACCCATTTGCACAATTTTTATTTTATTTTTTTAATTTTATTATATTTCAGCCACATCCAACAGCGCAAGCACCAATAACAGGATGGATAAATGGAGAGAAGACAATGAGAAGAAGTTACAGTTTTAGAAGTGGGAGGAAAAGCCCAGAAGAATACTCTAGGGGAAACCCACGGAATCAGGCAGGGACTGAAAACCCAATCCACATATTGGCCCAGGCAGGATTCAAACCCAGGTCACAGCGGCGGAAGGCGAGGAAAGTACCACTACGCCAACCTGACTCCCCTAACTCACAAGCAGTCTTAATGCAGTAGATGTAGAAATAAACTCAGCCATGGTGACAAACTGACAATATCTAGTGCTGTGCATTTTTGAATAAATTAGTACATAGATGTATGTATGTTTGATTACTGGACTTGATGGAATATATTATTCAAATATTTTTAAAGGGCTGATCAAGTTTTACACATGCCGTTCCAAACTGGCCACTGATATAGGGATTTGTGTGCACCTGCACGGCTTGTTGAAAATTGGCAAAGAGCTTACAAATTAAAATAATGAATAAGAACATTAAGTTTGTATCGATATATTTTTTGAGGTAGAGGAACAGCTGATATTTAAAATTATTTTATTAAAAAGAAGTTTGAGCTAATATTCCTCAAAGGTGTAAAGTGGATTTTAACAAAAAATGTGGCATTTGAAAAACAATAAAACAACGCAATTTACAGGTAGGCCTATATAATTATGAATTAAAAAGAACTGCCTCTAAAATATTAAATTTCTAGAATTTTTCTTAAAATGCAGGGGAAAATATGAAAGTGATAAAATTAAACGAAAATTTTTTTATGAATCGAAATTAGTGAAAGAATGTGAAAGACAACACTTTCTAATTAAATTGTCAAGGGCTTTTGGTGTTTACATCTAGCCTATTTTCCATTTTTAGTGGCCAAAAAATGTAAATAAAAACTCTACAAATTCAATAAGTGCATTTAAGTTGTTTATCAGTTCGCTATCGGGCAACGGGGCAAGGGGACAGCCACAGGCAATGAAAGGGGGGGGGGGGGACACAAACAGCCAGGCATTAGCAATCCATCACGGAGCCCCATGATGACACATCAGACTGATGATATGCGGGCCATCATATGAGTAAGCCACCGAGCCTAATATAAATCTAATCAAGATTATGAAGGTTAAAGCCAGTAGAATGATTCTGACCACTGTGGGCTACCCTGGGAGACAGGGCAGTACCATTTTAGAACGGGGAGGGGGACAGGGGAAGGGTTCGGTGATAATTAGGGATGTGACACTGACAGGGTTTAACATTTCAGTTACAAAAATGAACCGAACAGAACTTGGCTTTAGAACCTAGTCAGGCCCCAGAAGTTTAACAGCTGGAAAGTTCAGGACATGATTTATACTCAGTGACACTCATTCAACCAGTAATTCTGTCTGTCGGTATTCTCATTCAGTCATTCAGTCAGTGACTCCGTAGAAAGTCCCTTCGGTCCAGCAAAAATTTAACTATAGGGCCTATGTAACAAAATTTTCCTGACTGTTGAAATGGTACCTAAATTTGTTCACCAGTTGATCATTCACAAAGTAAGCATGCACCCGAGAAGCGACCGAGCCGCCTCCCACACGAAACAGGTTGCCACCTACATTTTAACCCCCCCCCCCACCCCACCCCATACAGTGTGTATTTGCCTACAATGGGACCCCTATTGTCCCTCTTTTGTTTGTACTTAAACTTTTTAGGAAAGACCTCCCATATGTTTTGTATACGATCGCCAAATTGGGGACCTTCGGGAATTGGGGACCCTATTGTCCTCTATTGTTCAACGTCCCCTATTGAATGCAGAAAATCAAGGATTTTCTATTGTTCCTCTTCCCTTTTCTTTTGTTGATACTCAAACTTTTTCGCAACAGCTCTCATTGGTTTTGTACACGTTTTCTAATCGAGGTCGTCCTCGATTTGCTTCCTGTCCTCGATTCAGCGATGATGTTGCACATGTGTGTCCTCGATTTACACCATAAACAAGCGCACACACCCATTCTGATTTTACTATACTACCAAACTGAGGACCTTTACTGTTGCCTTCTTTTGTTCGAATTGGTTAGACTTTTCTCGACATGTCCCATAAAATTTGTACAAGAAAACCTTCCGAGGACCTGGGCTCAGGACCGTGGGGTTTACTGCCATGATAAGAAACCCATTGCTTCAAGTCCTCAGACGTACAGGATAACCAGGTACAGATATTCAGTTACATGAACATGCTTTCACAGTTGGTCAAATGTTGAAGACTGAACCAGGCAAAGACAGTTGAAAACCAGCACTTCTCTGTTTTTGATTAACTCACATTGAAATTTCTCAGACTAATTCAACTTACCCTCTACGACTTGCTACATGTTGAGATCAGTTGTGTATATTACTTCTCCGGTTAAAAACTACAAAAGAAAGGAATAAACAAACGTAAAATCAATCACATAAACCGAACACAAAGAGAAACTGAATAGTCACATTATAAAAGAGGGGCCTTGTAGCCGAGCGGTTAGAGCGTGGAGCTACGGAGTGGAAGGTTGGCGGTTTGAATCCCATTCAGACCAACTGGAAAACTCTCTCTGACAACCCAACAGTAAAATGGGTACCTGATTCGTTCAGGGAAGGTAAGACGGCGAGAGGAGAGGACTGGGCCCCGCCACTCATATGCTGCGCCCAAGACACAGTGGACCTCTAACATCCCACTGCCCCTACGGCCAAGAATGGCTATGGGTACCTTTACCTTTACCTAAAAAGTTAAACAAAGAAATTGACTGGAGCAGAGTTTGAACCTGCAACCTCCGGACTGCCATTCCAGTGCTCTACCAACTGAGCTATCCAACCCTGTCTTGGTGGTTCCCCAAGTGGCATCAATCGTTGAGGACGGGACGGGGGGGGGGGGGGGGGGGTGGAACAAGTCCCCCCCCCCCCCCCCCACTCCACTCAGGAAAATAAATTCTCATTCACAGATACATATGTAACCCACTGCAAACTAAACTAAGGTTGGTCAATTGAGGGAGATAAAAGTCTTTTTGTTTGTTTGTTTGGTCCGAACCATTGTAAGGAATTAATGGTAAACTCCTCTTTTTCATGAAAATCACAGCATAGGCCTACTGGGCACAATGATTTCACAGGATGCTTGGATCCTATAATTTATTACAATCAAGAAGCGTAATTCATACGATTTTGACAGTTTCGTTTTTTGAATGATTGCAATTGGTGTCAATTACCTAACGCAACACGTGACTACACAATGTTGACGTCATGAAATTGTGCTTGGCTTTCATTTTTTAGACTGAACGGACCCTAATCCTCATGGGATATCGCACCGGACACCGTTGATGCCTTTCTTACATCTAGCCCTCACGGCACGGGATTACGTGGAAACGAGTTGAGCTTGGACCAAAGAGGCAGGATGACCGCAGTCACAGAGGATTTCAGAGAAGAAAAATGGCCGGAAAAGAGAGTTTTGCTTTCAGAAACTCGAGTCAAGGGCGGACGTGGCGTCACTACCGGTACTTTGATTGTTACATGTAATTGAAGACTGATCAGAACTGTTATGTATAAATTTGTAATAACTTTACTTTGCATGCTCCTTAAAAAAAAATGAAAAGTGTTGCTTCATCCTATATCCTTGCAAGAAGGTAGCTAAACTCTGCATAACTTTCACAGTATTCTGTAAGTAATTTTGGAAGTGGCATTGTTGAAAAGCTCTTGAAATAAAATCAGCAATATTTGCATTTAAAAGCTTACTATAATAACGGATGATTCCGGAAGATTGAGGCTCTATACATGTAATTTTTACATGGAGGCAGTTGGAGGATTTTGCAGGATTGAGGTTGCGTCCTAGCAAAAATGCCTAGGGAGTTCGGGTTAATTAAAGATGCACAGTAGGGCCAATATTCCTCGCAGCTCTCAAATCATGTAATTTTAAAGTGGCTGTCCACAAAAATGTTACATGTGACAAACAATAAAACTGCTCAACTTATACGAATAAATCACATCCCAGATGTTTTTTTGTCATCTTCTATGAGACGGCTCACATTTTTCAATATTCTATTTGGTTTACAAAAAGCTATTCAAGTATTCAGATATATATCTACAGAGGCTGATCAAATATTCCCATAATACGATAATACCCTAATGCATGCAAAGCTCTCTAGAGACCCATAAAATGTCACTCAATATGTAACAAAAATTACTCAGAAAAAAAAAAAGATATTGAAGTTGCCCATGGCACAAGCATTATGTTCTGAGTACAATATAGACAGGATGTGGTCGCGATATATCTCATTCCCAATTCTCTACGGTGTGCACTGGACACCAAGCTCCATTATTTTTTGAGATTGGAGAAAGATTAGGCAAAGCACATCCAAAGGCAAAACCTGTGCTACATTTGCAGATCTACAATTTTTGAAAGGCCTACCGGTGCTCAAATTGTAGATTTACAGATTTATAGAAAATTTACATTATATACACATACATGTACGTGTACATTTATTCGAGATGTAACAATCATCATGTCCCCACGGCACACGATAAGCGGCATACAGAGTTGAATATGTTTCACATAACATGTACAGAACTTTGCGTGTACACTGAAACACAGTGAAAAAACTAGGATTTAAAGGTATGATAAAAACGGTATGCTAAAAAAGTTACTATAGAATTTGACAGCTTTTCCACTTTAAACAATTTGGGATAAATTTGTACATTATGAAATGGCCAATGGTCTCTCATGGCATTCCCCCACCACCCTGGGGTATAGCGAATGGGGGCGGTGCCACTCCCACCTCCCCCTCCCAATTGATCGTTTTCTGTCGGCAAAATTGTCATTTATCATGTGTCTGTCAGTCAATATGCCGCAACGAAGAACGCCACCTAGTGGCCCATAGTGTCCAAGATCATCTGCTTTGAACAGTGACTCTAATAGTCAGATGCTGTCCAGCCCCCGCCCCATCCCACTTTTTGATTTTACGACAGCCTGGTTACATACATATGTACCTTTCAGCACAGAGGGTCTGTTGGCAAATATCCTTCAATCAAATCACCCTCTTGTTTAAAAAATGAGAACATGAATGTGATTAGAGGCCTGATTGCCGAATCATGGTGGCCCGCTTGTTGTGCCAACCTCAAGGACGAAGAGTTACAAGATATTTAAATACATTTAGGAATCCCCCTCACAAAAGGACACTTTCTATATTATATTACCGTAGACAGGTAACAAGATGCTTTGTACACTGCATGCAGTCACGTCCTCATAATGTAACAGTAAACAGAAGACACATTACAAAAGTAATGAAAACGAGAAGTGTGTTTGTCAAGTCAAGAAACACAGCTGTTTCAGCTGTTTTTTTATGATGCAAGTTATCTGCAGCATCTGGTATTAGACTCATGGGAGTCACAAAATAAGGTTAAAAAGCTAAATAAAGTTAGAGAGAATGTACAGCATTTGCTTTTGCTGCAATTTTCAGAAATAAATGGATTTGGAGGATTAGTATGTTACAGCAAATATTGTTGAACTGACATGTTTAACGTTTTGGGCTTGTACATGCTGGGGAAAAAAAAAAAAAAAACAGTCATGCCGACCAGCGTTGGAAAAATGCAAATTTTCTTGAAAATGTCAGCACACCAGGAGCCACAATTGTACAGGATGCTTTAGACTGTCGTTCCCTAACAATCCAGTAAGGTATTTCGTGATAATTTGAGCATTTTGTTTTTGGATATTTGCAAATGTTGTATCTTCCCTTTAAAGGGAATATACATCATTTGCTTTTGCTGTAATTTTCAGAAATGGATGGAATTGGGGGGTTAGAAATAAACAGCAAATATAGTTACACTGACTTTTTTGAGGTTTTGGGTTCGAAAATGCTATAAAAACCAAGAAAAACAATCATTTTCCTGTAGTCTGGTTCCCTGACTCCATTTAAGAAGAAACAGAGCAGTTTACATACATTGGGGAATTGTAAGGTCAGGGAACCAGTCTAGCTGGCTTGTACCCGTTCATAGGTGTGTAATCGATTGCAAACAAGTGCGATGGTCAACTGGGGCCAGTATTTGAAAAAAAAGCCAGTTTTTTTCCAACCGATCAGGCCGATCAGTGTTGGAAATTGATACAAAAATACCACTTTTCTTGAAAATGACAGTATACCAGGTGCCATGATTTTACAGGATGCTTTACACTGTCATTCACTAACAGTCCAGCAAGCTATAGTATTTCAAAATGATTTGGTAGTTTTATTTTTTGATGTTTGCAAATGTTGTATCTTCCCTTAAAGCCAGGCGGTCTTGTAGTTTTCTTGATATAGGACTTTGAAGTCTCCATATGTGACTCATGTTGACATCATAACGTAGGTCACACATTTTTCCAAATTCTATGTGTACCGGTACTTCCTATTTAAGCAATTACAAACAGATTTTTAAGTTGTTTTGTTCACAAGATATAAGTTCAATTGTCAAAAATCTAAGCATCAATGAAAAAATCACATGATGATGTCATCATGATGTCACATCAAGTTCCACCAAGAATACATCCCCGTCTTTGACCGGTAACTAGACCTGTAGTTCTGTAGTTCACGCGACACACGATGACGTCATCATGAAGTCAATCATCTTTGGATGGTCATGGTAGTCTACGTGTGTGAAACGTTGAAAGTCAATCAGATTTATAAAAGTTCCAAAAGCGGTTTGTAGAGAAAACAAAAAAAAACTACAAAGGCTATTGACAAAAGTGGCAAAAGAAAAAATAAAACTTTAACAAAAACAAGAGCATTTTTGGCTCATTGCTGAAACAGCTAAAAAAAAAATTAAGTCTCGAAACTCAAGTGTTTCCACTGTATATACTTCCCCATTTTCTTTTTCAACAGTAACACATACTTTAGTCCAAAACATGCAATCCCCTCCATTAATAAGCAGTGCCAAAAAATGAATATTCATAACAAAGTTTACATGCAAATCAGAGCCTGCAAGAGTTCACACACCCCCACCCGCCCACTCAACATTCCATCTGTCTGCAAGTGGTTGGCTGTAAACAGCTACTTGTTGGAATGTACTAATAAGGTCTTCAGGGGGTGTCCTGAGGTTGACCCTGAATAGTTTGAGGGTGAGATCACCCGCTGAGGGAATTCCTTGGGGCTGTCACACTTTTACAGGAAGTTTAGAACTTTTTTATATCTGGAGTGCAGAAAGTATGGTGGTACAGGAGGAGATGATTTGACCTGATGAGGTCAAGGGAAATTAATTTGCAGACATTTATCATTTTGTTAATCAATTAAAAAATTATGTTATAATGTTATAATGTTATAATGTATACTATTGAAGAGATCACCAAAAGTGCAACAGTTTGTTCAAGACTTTTGTCAATTGCTTATAAACAGAGCAAATTTGTCTAAATTTTGCAAAAACACCAGGAAACAGTGTAAGCAATTAGACCACTGAATGTACGTACTTGGTACCGTATCTGTAAGCACATTTTAAATCCACTGAACAACAAAATGTAAAAAGTTTCATAAAAATTCTACAAGAAAGTTTGAAAATCGAAATACATGCACTGTTCTGGCCACCACATGTCCACTTGAAGCAGAATGCAATGTTTCACAAGAAATTGCCAAATAAAAAAATTAAAAAACCAATTCTATACAATCTAGTTTACAAAGTGTTTTCTTGTAAAACTAATTTTCATATAACCCCCCCCCCCCCACCAACCTTTTGGGGGACGGGTGGGGGTTGGCGTGGGGGGTGGGGGTTTGGGAAGGGGGCGGGGATGGGTTTGAAAATTGGGTGTGATTCCTATGTAACGCATGGCAAAAACAACAGGACTCAAGCATCCCAAAGAATATACAGTGAAATCTCAATAAGTCAAACTCTGATAACTCAAAACAACTGTCAAGTCAAACAAAGAATCCATTGCCTTCGGTAGTATAAAAGTGATAATACAACCCTGCTTTACTGAAAACTCTCAAACTTTGAACCTGTTCCCTTGAGGTTTGAGTTATCAAGCTTTCACTGTATCCACAGGACTTGTCAAGACATGAAGACTGTAGGCTAACTGACTAGTTATCCAATCGGTGACAGCGGGTCACAATGAAGGTCAGATGCATTTACACGAACTGTGTGGGAAAAGTGGGGGGGATGCGGGTTTTTATGGGTCACTTCAGCAGCACTGGGAGTGAATATTGGGTTGTAAATGCCAGTCAGGCATGCTGAGAATGTTGAATTACGGGTAGCTGTTGTGGTTTGTGGAACCGGGATTCAACCACTACAGTTGCAGGTATTTTTCTTTTTGGAAAACAAGTTTTGAGGGTCAGAAAAAAGGGAACCTAGGATGGAGACCACAACAAAATTATCATATTTTGAACTTTCATTACAAAATTGACATGTGATGCGATCAAGCTGAATGAGTTATTTGTTGACCCTGGTCAAATTTTCACTACAGTTGCAGGTATTTTTTTTTTTGAAAACAAGTTTTGAGGGTCAGAAAAAAGGGAATCTAGGATAAAAACCACAACAAAATTATCATATTTTCAACTTTCATTACAAAATTGACATTATTTGATGTGATCAAGCTAAATGAGTTGTTCGTTGACCCTGGTCAATTTTCACTACAGTTGCAGGTATTTTTTTTTTGAAAACAAGTTTTGAGGATCAGAAAAAAGGGAATCTAGGCTAGAGACCACAAAAAAATTATCATATTTTCAACTTTCATTACAAAATTGACATATGTGATGCGATCAAGCTAAATGAGTTGTTTGTCAACCCTGGTCAATTTTTTTTAACAGATTTGAAAAGAGTAAAATCTAAGCATTACTGATGTGAAAACGGTTTAAACCGCATGCTGATACCACCTTAAGTTAAAAAAATTATGGAAGTCGGAACACCAAGAGATGTGATGAAGTGATGTGATGAAGAGGCCCTATTTTGGCCTGTATCTCCAAATGAAAGTTCCTGACAAACGACTCATTTAGCTTGATCGCATCACATATTCTGTCCAATAATCTTGATTGTTGTGACTTCTGGGTTTGAACCTGCAGCATCGTGACTTTGAGCATGATCCCTGGTTACATGGCATACATACCGGTTTATGGCTTCCGACTAGTGCCCCTTGACCAAAGACATTGCCAGAATGGGAAACTGCCAACATAGGGCTGGATAGTTCAGTTGGTAGACCACTCCAGTCAATTTCTTTGTTCAACATTAAAATTATTAATCTAAAATCCTGCAGTCATTACGAACAAGTTTTTCTGAACTACCCCTCAAATTAGGGGATAACTAAACATCTAGAGGTTTGCAATTTGACTTTTCTTGCTTTTTAACCAGGTAAGTTGCATCTATAGTGAATATCAAGTGGAAAACAGTCTAGATTTTTAGGGACACAACTTAAATTCAGGAAATGTAGCATACATCGCTATGTGGCTGACAATTTGTAGTCCAAGTCCAAGGATGTGTTCCACTTGTTTGCGTTTGTTAGCCTGGGCCTGCAAATGTGATGACCCCAAATGGAACGATAAAGTCATCGAAAAACTGTTGTCAAAATGAACTGATGCAAAATAGCCAATCTACTGTTTCGATAAGCAGCTTTTAAAATACCCAAAAACCTTAATCTTGACTGAAAATGAATTGTTTCCACTTTCCAGTGTCATATATACTTTAATATGTTGAAAACAGAAAAATTCAGCCCCGACAGAGAATCATTACGTTGATTGTGTGTGTCGCCTAGTCCGAGTAACTTGGACTCTACAACTCGCCTATTTTAAAATTTTGATCATGGTCTGGCAATAGTACTAGTAGAGTCCTAGAGAGGTTCTTTCCTGGAAGCAAAAACGTTAGCTTCGAATCAACCTCGTGCCCCGTGGGTACGATCTTGCAGCGCCATGTTGTTTCCCGTCATGCCTTGCACGATCAAAACCCCTGGAATTGTGTAATTTAAATATACCAGGGCTGCAGTTTATCTGTTTTACGTGCCGACGCCATCTTTAAAATGTTAAAAGTTGTGATTTTGAAGAATCAATCCTTTCAAACACAACGTTTGGACGTTGTGTTAATTGGCAAAGATTTGTATTAAATGTACGTACCCCTTTCGTGCCTTTACAACCACAGATACAAGGGTTTTTTTTGCGAAAAACGCGGCTGACATAATCCATATCGTACAGGCTTCGCGACTTTTGAATCATAATTTTTTTTTTTCGTACGTGACGTTACATGCAAAGCTAAGCACGCAAGTGCAAGCGCATTATGGGCGCACCCGGCTTGCAATCTTCGAAATGCCTGCGCAGTACGCTGTGAATAGCCATTCAGTGTCATTTACGTCATCATCACAGCCAGGGTTTAGTGTAAGGAACGAGAACGCGCCCTTGGAGTCGAGGCTGGCTTCGAATTGCTTCAAAATGCAATAGTCAGATCGTTTTGGTCTGGCAACAAGATGCTGACAGTATTTTGTACACATTTCAGATGGCCCGACAAAATGCACAGTTGCACACACCAGGAGTTGCACCGGGAAAAAAACTCTTCTAATCTGGTTTGGCTTAATTGTATTCTCATTTTGAGTGGATCCTTTGCTGCAAGAAGGATAAATCTGCCGTCTTAGGCGAGTTTCTGCTTGTAATTTGTACGAAAATGGAAAATATCGGCCAAAAAGTGAAAACCGCATTCTTAGTCGGCAAGGTAATTCCAGCTCTACTGGCGAATCTCCCCATATCATGAGCCTAAGGCCTAAGCTGAAAATGTCAAGCTATGATAAGACTAGCTGTCTAACCTTTTCGATATTCGCAATGCATCTTGGGATTGGATGACAAACAAACCAGGCAATTTGTGCACAAACATCGGGTTGCAACTTTCATTTGATTCCTCCTTATTTTATATCAGGAATTTAGTGAATATCTTTTCCTACATTGTTGTAGGTCTACTGGTAATTTGAAATATCGTTTTAAAAATCATTCTTTAAAGCCCATTACTCATAACACAGGGGTCAATTTATTTGAATGAATACAATTTCGGGGAATCTCTTTTAGAGGCCAGTTTTGTTACTCGTGAATATTAATATCATGATATTGACCAATCACAATCAAGATGTCGAGGTCACGCCTCCAAACACTGACCAATCACAACAATTTCACTGTGTCCGTCCCGATGACTGGCATCCTGACATAAATTTAAAGATTATTTCTTGTTTTTGCTTGTAGAGTTTAAAAGTTGAATTTTATTTGCAAATTATATTTCTTAAATTCTATGCATTTTATAGGTGAATCGGTGATCACCTAAATAATGAAGAAAAAAATACTTTAAAAGGAATGTACATCATAAATTTGCTTTTGCTGCAATTTACAGAAATAAATGAATTTGGAGGATTAGTATGTTATAGCAAATATTGTTACACTGACTTGTTTCACGTTTTGGGTTCGTAGATGCTGGAAAAACCAAGAAAACCAATCATGTTCTTGTATACTCCTAGAACTATGAGGCTCCACTACGTGGAGCCTCATAGATCAAGAAGCCCGCAAAATTGCCTGCAGCACAAAACACTAATAAAGTACAAAAACGTCCATCAAAATGGAGAAATTTCACACAGGACCGCTGCACAGTTTGCCCCTATACTCCGTACTTTATCTCTTGACATACTCACGTATCATGCGCAGAACTAACATAGGTGGATTCTGTCGGTTTTTAGGCCAAAATGATGAAAAATGTGCCCTTTCCGCACTGAGCCAACCTGACACTTGAAACGTGCATGCATATGATCGAGCGATGATTTTCGGTTCGCTCGGAGCGCGCCGCGGGGGGTACGGTACATGCACTTGTACGCATGCACATACTATCATTTCGCCTGTACCGTACCCCCCGCAGCGCGCTCCGAGCGAACCGAAAATCATCGCTCGATCATATATGCGTGCAGGTTTCAAGTGTCAGGTTGGCTCAGTGCGGAAAGGGCATATTTTTCCTCATTTTGGCCTAAAAACCGACAGAATCCACCTATGTTAGTTCTGCGCATGATACGTGAGTATGTCAAGAGATAAAGTACGGAGTATATGGGCAAACTGTGCAGCGGTTCTGTGTGAAATGTCTCCATTTTGATGGACGTTTTTGTACTTTATTAGTGTTTTGTGCTGCAGGCAATTTTGCGGGCTTCTTGATCTATGAGGCTCCGCTCACGCGGAGCCTCATAGTTCTAGGAGTAGTATCTTCCCTTTAAAGCTTGACTGGTTCCTAGATCCCCCGTAGGTTTGTGCACAAATTGCCTGGTTGTTTGTCATCCAATAATATCGAAAAGGTGCTCGTGAAACTTGCGACTTGTTTTTGAAATTATAGCAATTATAATACTGATTACACTGACCGTGTTTCTAGATCAAAATCAGTGGATGAGACACAAAATAACAAAGAATACGGTAATTAATCTTACCGGACCGGAACGGAATCCCCCACAAAAAAGGATGCAGATGACAGTGAACTGAAGCTCGCGCGGTACTGCTATGGCGCGCCCTCTTGTGACAAATCGGGACGTGAATTATATTTCCAAAGAGGGCGCCAGAGCAGACTCACGGGATCAAAAAGTTTTGATCTCTGAAGAAGGTAGCTGACTTCTATGTCATCAATTTCAGTGAAAAGAGTTCATGCGTGACTAAACTACAAAAGCTTATCAAAATGACGAATAAAAAGGGATTTTATAAGATGTGCGAGGAAAAAGTAAGCCTGCATACAACTGCTTCTAATCAAATCCCCTTGCCAAACGACAGTCAATATTGTATCAATTGCCTAAACGGTTTTTTTGCAAATTAGACCCAAACTTTGATAATATTTTAATAAAATTAACCGAAAATTGATGTAAAATACTTTTTTCGAGAAAGTCACACTGCACACATTTGTTTAAACCTGTTTTTTTTATTATTTATTATTTTTTACAGTATATTATATCACATTATACCTACCTCATAGCCTAAAATCGAATCCTTTGATATCAAGGAGAAGGGGAAATGAAGAACAAGCGGTGAATAGTGCTTGGAGAAGACTAAGAGCAACTTTTCACTTTTCCTCAAATTAACATTCTCGTTAAGTGATATTTCTGTAATCCAACGATCTGTTATCTCATGCTCAGCCAAATCATGACTTGCTTGCCCTCAGATTCTCCACCGGTATTTTGAGGGTCATGAACTTGAGGGTTTGAAAAAAAGAAGGTGAAAGCCGTGAAGAGGACTGCGAGCTTGTATTTCTGTAAAATTCGGATGGAATTAGGCCCTACAATTGCTCTGTTTTGCAATGACGATCATTATTCAAAATGGCGATGGGTTTCAGTCCTACTTTTAGGGGTGATCGTCTTCAAGTCATCGGTTAACCCCCGAAAATTGAACAGAAAATGCAAGATGATGAAATAAGCTCTAATTTGATGTGTGTCTCAAACACCTTGGAGAGTTGCGAATATTTTTCGTAAGTTTTGGAAGTGGGCGTCATTATCACTATGGCCACTCATCTGTTGGTCTGCATAACCCTCTAGCGCTTAACAGACTCGCACCGTTAAAAATGTATAGCGCCCTCAGTTGTAGGCGTTGGTTAGATGAAGCCTGTGAATTTTAAGTTCCCGACAGTGTCTCTCCTCTTAATAAATGTATTTTTTTCTTATTATAAACTGAAGATAAACCAGTTAATAGTTCCAACATTTGCATAGGGGCAGGGTAATAGCACATCTACATGGGGCAATATTTTTTTCCGGTACGATATGTTTACGGTTATATAATTTCGTATGTTACTTTTCCGACAAAATGGCCCCCCCCCCCACAAAAAAAAAACTGAATAGCGCTGCATCAAGACCGAAGAATGTCATTGGAAGTCTATTAAATTCTTGCGATTTTTAACACATTTTCCCTGCAAAATCCAATGAATCGTGCGTATTGGTCCATTTCATATATCACACAGGAAGTCTGTGGCTTGCAATCTTCGCTCGTCAACAACTTAAATATAAACATACAGACGACAAACAGTAAAAACAGAGGATGTACATCATTGTATTCTCATTTGTTTTTCCTTTTTTATTGTCTCTTTCTCGTTCCTCCACGCCTCAAAGTCCAGACCTTTTGCGCACCTCCTGTGTGCGCATAAAATAATTACTGACTTTCTCGGAAACAATATTTCCATGTTAGCCATAAATCAAACGTCTAGTCCTATAATAAAAACAAGGGGTGTCATTTTCCTCAAAAAGTATTATTACAGGACATTCTTACATCTATCTCAAGCAGATTTTTTTATGGTCTAATACAACAAACAATCAAGCGCTTGGATAAATATGTTGTTTTTAGCTTTAAAAAACGACAAGAGTACAGAAGTATTTTTGATCACATAAGCTGCAAACTCACTCATAAAATAGTCGTATGGTTTGAATCTCTCCTATTTGACTAGCCAATCAAACTTGGTGTACTACAAACGCCCGGGTTCCATTGGTCAGCGCTTGTCCTTTCGGCATTATGATTGCGTGGTGTGTGATTTCAAAAAGTTTAGTTGTTTTCTTATTTCAACAGCACATTTTATATAGTTCACTCCATTCCACAAAATTCAAAGGCTGTCTATATAAAAACGAGCAAACTGGAAAATTCGCGAAAAAGAGTATGGTATGAAAAGCTTTCAAAGGGGCTATATAAAAATGTCACAACAATTGGGTAAATATAAAAACTCTCAAAACTTGTGAATAATCAATTACGACTACTCACCACAACACAGTCGACCACTCAAAACTGTTTGACTCAAATCAAGTCGTACTAAAAATACAAAATTCTAAAGCATAATATATGCATACAAATTTCTTTTTCATTGACTTTTGAGTGATTGACTAGTATAAACTGTTACAAGCATAAAAAACTCGGGGAAAAAAGTGCACTGCATAAGACCATTATCAGGAGAAAAAGGTCTAGAAAATTAGTAACAAAAAATAATCTCCGTAAAAAAACATTCAACAGTTTATTGGCTAAAAAGTTGTATACAATATAAGAACTCTGTAGAAAGTTTTTGTAAACTGGAAAAATGCATACTGTTCCTTACAGCCCCGAGATACCACATGCCAACTTCGAACATGCGATGTCACAATTTTTTTGCATTGCATAGAAAATATGTACATTTTTAAAATTTACTGTTTAACGTTGTCGAGAAAAGTTTGCCAAATGTATTCTGGTAAAAGCACCGTCTTCTTTCCATGGTCCTGGTACAGTGACAGTAACAAATACGTTTGCAAATATTCCAACTGTTTCAAGGATCACATTGTTTTGATTTATACCGTTGACATCTGTATTTGATCCAAACGATTACTGACGTGAACTCAATTCTTTGCAAAATAATGCAAAAAAAATCCATCGACAAACAAAACTCACAGGCTGAAAAAGTGGCATTTTTGGTACTTCAAGGGACTTTTTTTAAACAAGAAGGAACTCCGTATGCAATTTACAATAATACCCGTTAAACAAATTTCAGCAATAATAAAGTGAAGGTGAAAAAAAGGTGCCAGCATGTAAGTGTATAAAAGAAATTACTGTTGTCTTTTCGGTCCAGGGTATTAAACTGCTTGGCACATACACAAATAATACAATAACCATGTTTTAATGGTTAATGCATTATTTCATCAGCTTCAGTGACTCAAAGAGATGAAAGCACATTTTTCTGAACTGCACGGTGATGGTGTGTAAAGTCATTCAAGAATTTGTAATTAAAAAAAAAAAATTAGGATACAAAAAGCCACCGCAAACACTTGTTACAACTTTATAGTTTCGCACACAAATTGTGAAAATGGCATTTAAAAAAAAAATAATTTTTCACTTGATGTTTTCCCCAGTCAAATTTACTGTCGTTATATAAAGTTTCAAAAACACCCTCACAACAAAAATTTGAAAAGGATTAATTCATTGGATTATCCATTAGTTTAGTTTAACTAACCTGCAACCTAGTTACTTGTACACTGCAGTTTATCAAAATATGTTTAACTCATTAAAAAAATATTATTAACCACAATTTCATCTGCACAGAATTCAGTGAGTTTGCTTTACTCATTTGTTTTTCAAGAAAATCTCGTTAAGTAAAAATGTTTCTCTGATTTTGGTCCAGGATTTGATTATATACATTAATGAATGTGAAAAAAAAAACACATTTCACAAATGTAAAAAAAAAATTCACAATTTAACGCACCAAATTTTATTCAAACTATTATTGAACGGTATTAAGTGCCTGCTCCATTTTAATGGAACAAGTCAAATTGTCTGTTTTCCCCACAATAAAATTACAATCAACCGCTTGCATAGTACAACTCTTTCGTCTCTAGTCACAAATGGAATCTGCCAATTTTTTAAGTTTAAAAGAGTGAGGTATCGTTGATTTGTCAGATTTCATTTGGACAAAAGTAAAAAAAAAATGGTCACATTTTCTCAATAACTCTCGATAATAAGCTGCTGTACGGTGAATATATTCATTATTAAAAAAAAATATTGCGAACGAAAAACAAAAAATTCTCCTCCAAATAATGTCTCTTTTGCTTTCTATCCACTGTCGGTCAAATTACTCCAGACAAATCTCAACTTCAAAATGAATATTTTTAACCTCGACTCTTCAAAACGTTGGCAACAGAAGGCTGTGGCCACACTTGTAATTTTTTTTTATTTAATCTTTAAAAATCATTTATTTTGAGGAATGAACGCAGTTCTTCGCATTCTTGTTCTCATCCCAAATCAGCTATGCACAGAACAACAAAACCAAACAAAAGTATATGGAAACAAAACACTTCAACAAAACACTTCAACAAACTAAAAATATTTGCATTCAAATGCACTGAAATTACATCCTGAAACTGCCTTTTCAACCACCATCCTATTCGCACTTTCAAACTCAAATCCAGGGCTGGAACAATCCGACCTTCCTCACACTTATACTTTTTAAAATCTATTTTTGATATATTTTACACCTTTATTTTTGTGCGTGTGAGGAGTGAAAGGTTGGAGGTCAAGGGTGAAAGGTTACTTTGATGCTACAGTCTCGGGGACCAGCCCTGACATAATCTGGCTTCTCCAGCCCTACTTGTCAGCGATTAGAGAAACAAACACAAAGATAGATTGAGCTAGGTCCAACATGGCCAGCTGGACAAAACATTCCAAACAGAATCAGCCGGTCCTTTTTTTTTGGGGGGGGGGTGTGTATTTTTGTAATCAGCTTCCAGCAAAGGGTTTGCCAAATCCAAATACTCTGTGAAGATTCCTATGGCAATATTCGGCAAATAAGGAACTCGGTAAAAGAGCACCAAATTCAGACAGGATTTGGCAAACCCGTCCGGCTGGGGCTAGGGCTTGAGGGAGGTACATGATGTTGGGGCTTGCCGAGCTTCGTCTGGGGAAAAAAGTACCAATAAACCAGCCTTGCCGTAAAGAGGTAGCCGGTGTCCGGAATGTCAAACAGCCATTTTACTTCAAACCAGCATCCAATGCACGAGGTTTATGAACGGGCAGCCCGTCTCCTTTGACATGTAAACAACAACAAACAACAAGAAGCAGGACAGTGTCGTGCTGCTATCGACTGCCACAGTCTTCAGCTCATAACAAAAATTGAAAGTCCCAAGTGAAAACATCTCAAGACTTCTTTGACGAGCCTCACCGGTGCCCATCCTGGGCACAGAAATTTGCAAAGCACTGTAATCATTTGCTTAACACAGGTTACCAGTGTTTGTGACTGGTATTCAACCAATTGATGCTGAGCACGTTTTCTTGTCAAACTTTTCTGGTTAAAGTAGCCCAGGAATTTAAGAAGTCCTGAGAGATTTTCACGAGGGAAGGGGGTTTAGGGAATGAGTACTTAAAGAGCTAGTGTTATGATAAACTCTGGGGTGCCTGTAGCCGTGGTTTCGTCAATTTGGACAGGCTTGGTCCTGACTGGTCCAGGAGCTTGGCAACATCTTCAACGTCGGTTGGCGTCGTTGGTTGCTCCTTCTCGTACTCGCTCTCGTGGTGCTTGTTGGCCTCGGTAATGTCGATGGTCACCGGATGAGCAAGACTGTCCGATAGCAGCGACTCCATTCGCTCTTGACATGAAATGAGGTAGTCCTGTGATGACACACAAAAAAAAGAAACATACAAAATCAACATCAATTGGTTTTTTTTTTAGCTTTTGACTTATAAGTTCAGTAAAGTAAACACAGGTTTTCAGATACACCAACAGCGCACTTCTGTGTTGTGGCAGTTTGACTTAAAGTAGGGAGTTCCTTTAACCACCTGGCCTCCACCAAAGCATTCTGGGAAAGGTCAATCGGCTATCCTGACCCACATCAAGGTCAGAAGCCTGTGTCGAGCACTGCCAGTGGGGGCTGCGTTAATTCCCTCTACCCTCATCAGTGTCCAAGTCATAAAACTCCTATTAGTGCCAGCCCCACTATGAACAGTAACCCCTGGGCCAAATCCCCTGGGTGGGGGAAGGAAAGCCTGCTGTTAGTTTGCATCACACAAGATGGCCGCCGCCGCCAGGTTTCCCTGGGCCAAATCGGAAGTCTGTCCCAAACAGAATTCCCCAGTGGAGTTGCTGTATGAAAGCTCTTTTCTTTACTCGCAGAATAGGGGTCAACGGGTAAGTAATAAGGCCACTCATCATCACAGATTGATTTGAGAAAAAAAAAACACACTGAAAAAAACAACCCCAAAACACAAACCTAAATATAGAAGGCAGAAACATTTTTGTATCCCCTGTAGTTGTTTTGTACACTGATTGTTTAATTGATCTAGTGATTGACATTCACAGAAGATGAGGTCAAAGGGCACAAAAAAATCAACCAAGAGGAAAAGTCAGTAAAAAGTGTTCAATAATTGACCCCAAAATGGTAGCTGAAATCATGAGGACAAGTGACATGAATATGGAATAAAGGGGTCTGTACATAAAAAGATGCAACCTTCGGTCATCTTCTCATGAAATGTGAAGTTTTCGAACGCGTCTGGAATCCGTCTGGAATCCGTCCCAGCAGAATTAGCAAATGGCAACAGAAATCCAAACATCTCCGGAATTTCAATGCAAAATGAAGCTGCTTTCCCAGCATGCCAAGGGGTAAAAAAAAAAAACCTGTCTGGGTTGTTAATATACATGCATGACCACCTGTATGGCGGCATAGCTGCAACGTGCATTGAACTTTCTTTCCCATGATTGGGCCTAGCGCATTTCTGGTGAGTCTGGTAAAAAGTTCAGAAATGGGCCAACTCAAGGCACACACAATACTGGCTGTGTTGCCAAGCCCGGTGATTATTGATGTGTTGGGGGAATCCGTGGCCCTTTCTTGGATTTGTTTGGTGATTGAATGGGGCTGGTTTCTGGTACGATGGAAACCAATGCATACATTTCATCTGCCAGGAAGTCAAAAGTACTGCTGAACAAAAGTGGCAATGAAAAGTGCCAATTCAACCGTGATTTCAGTGTGAAATAGCCCAAAGATATCAAAAATATGCAAATAAGGCGAACATCTGGATCATTGTATTTTCTAAATTAATGAGCAGTATTTTCTAAATTAATGAGCGAACTGAACAAAAAGTTGAACAAAGCAAAGAAAGGACTTTACTTTGCCATTTAGGATGCCATTTAGGACACCATGGTTACTTGTAATTACATGTGTCCATGTGGTAAGAATCTTGGGAAAATATTGAAAGTTCATCGGGCCATCCAGTGTAAACACCCCAGAGCCATGGCACAGAAGTCATGTGTCTTTCCCCAAGTCAACTTCTGCCGACCCCAATTGACCCATAATAAAAAGGAAAAAAATTCAAGTTCCCATGGCATTCTCAGTCTTATCGTTGCAACATTCTTCAGGTAATTTGCCCGAAACTCACTTCTCACTCTCTCATAATGAATTTTAACTTCCAACCAGAAATACATTTCGTGTTTACTGTTTAGAGACTTTCTCTCTTGTTGATGCTTTTAAAAAGTTAACACCCGTCATGAAAACAGGCAAGAAAGTTTGATACCAAGAATGTGTGTTTAATGGGGGTTGAGTGGTTCAGGTGAGGGTACAGTGAGTGATTTAGAGGGTGTCTATAGGACTAGGATTTAATCTCATTACGCATCTGGTTTTATAAATCTCTCAGTGGCTCTGTGGTGGTGGTACATTTTTTGGTTGGGTTTTCGTCTGATCGGCTGCCACTGTTTCTTGGGATTGGAATGTGAACATTTCCTTCATAAATCTAGAGTTCAAGCAACTGTACTTGTCTGCACCCACAGTTGAAATTTTGCCAAGATGAAGTCCATGCACTCGTACATTGATGCATTCTTAATTACTTGCTTCCAAACGGAGGATTTGTTTCAACTAAATGTCATCCCCTCCCAACCCATAATTGATATCTGCCTTGTGTTTAATATCTCGACAACATGAGTGGTTTTTAGTTTTCATAGATGTGTCATTACATCACATTTCAACTTCATTTGCTTGGGTACAAGAAAAATGAAACCATGGATTAAGCAAGAATTTTTAGTCCAAGGCCAAAATATGGGTGTCCTTGGTCACTGATCTAGGTGTGAAATGAACAACATGGGACAATCTTACATGTACAATGACCAAATGCACAATTTATATTTTCCCCATTTCTGTTCATAACGATGAAAATAATTATTTATTAGTTACTTCTCTATTTCTAATCTTTTGGCTATTCACCAATACTGCTAGATTTTTGGGATTGCATTTTCCCTCCTTTTTTCACGATCATGCATTAATTGCATGTTATTTTCAGTCCAGCGAATTCATACTTTCATTTTTAGCAGCATTTTTTTCTTGATTCAACTTTCCAAATTGACGAGATTCCTTAAGCGGAGGTCACGGGTGCGTCCGCGCCGGTTTATTGTCGCCTGCACCAGGAGGAAGCCACTTTGCCTCTGATGGCCCCCTCAGTGGGACACGAGACGGCGGCAATTTGCGCAACGTGACAACCGGAGGTATCACTGTGGTGTATAAACAATGGCCGCAAGACGATACAGGTATAAAAATGGGATACAAAAAAAAAGGGCACAGCTTTGATTCGACCAGGAGAGCAGAAATAATCAATTACCAGACCACAGTGGCAGTAAGGGAGAATTGTGGAGGAGACATGCAAAAGACTTTGTAAATTGTTTTCCAATTTGTAAAAGTGAAGTGAAACAAAAGGAGGAAATCAGCAGATCTGAGGAAAAGTTGCATGCCTGTACATGGACAACTGTTTTAGGTCAGTGAAGGAATTCAAGTTATTTATTGAACTCAAAACCACAATCTGTGCCTCAGAAGAGAAATGTACATGTAACAGTGAACACCATTTGCCACTTTAATTCAAGGAGTCTCTTTTTATGGCATCATTTGGCAACATGAATAACATGCACCAGCAAAATAAAAAGTCTCTTCAGTATTCGAACAATATGCCCTTTAACTGCAACCAAAACACCCCCCTCACACTTTGTGTATTTACATGTACTACTTGGTATGCCACCCTAAATACGAAGAGTGCCCTGAACAAATATTGAAGTTGGCTAACTTTATGGCAGGGCAAGAATAAAGTCCAGAGCAAATCAAAACTTCCTATCTCAAATCAACAAAACAGGTTGATTGCACACATAACACATGTCTGTTATGCCATGGGATCTCTGGCCTGCCCGCTCCCACCGCATTCCTTTTCAAACAGCAGGAACTTTTTATTAAAGGGGCTAGTGTGCTCAGAGGCTTAATTCTGCCTTGAATGTTGTATCAAGGCCCCCCCTCTTGGCTTATTACAAAACAAGGTTAATTTCTGCTACCACAATTTGGGCACTAGACCTGCTTTCTCCAAAGCCACCTCTCCGCGTATCCGTCTCCGAAAATTATACAACTCTTCTAAAGTAAATCCAAGATGGCTTCTGTGTTATCGTCCACATTAACACTTTGTCAGCAGTCAGATCACAGAGTTTCTATCACAGTGACTCTGCTGTTAATTTTTACCCTTTTACCATACAATACAAAAAAACTGAACTTTTGTACGGTGTTGTGGAACTCTTTAATTTAAGAATGAAAGGCAGGGAAAAAAGACTTCAGCAAGAGGCTTATCTGTGCCACCCACTCTGATGGTATCAGGGTGCTTGCCCTTGTAGGATCACATGCTTGGATCTGGCAATGTAATTTGTACCAAATTCCAACAAAAATAACAGGACCACTGGTGTAAAGTTAAGTAGCCTTGTGTAAAGGGCCCGATCAGTCCACATTTCGGCTGCACAGGGAACAATATATCCCTCAGTTGGCCAGACTGCTGCCTGGATTGGCCTCAAGGATTTCTTAATAGGAGAGCAGAAGGTCACCCAGTGGTCTGACTTCCCTGTGGCATATCGACAGGGGTCAACATCATGCTTGCTTGCCTTTTTATTCTCTGTTTAAATACTTTACAGGATGAAAATACCCCCAAAAAACTACCAAATCCAGTATCCTGAAAAAAGGGCTCTGACCCTACATGCACATGAAAGTTCCTGACAAAAGACAGCGAACTAGTATTCGCATCATCAGTGCTGAAGTCGGAATACGGAATGATGTTTTCCTGCTTTTCAGTGTTCCAACTTCCAAGATATCAAAAGGACACAAAAACTTCTAGAGTCAAGTTTGACAAGAATTAGATGAATAAGCTTAACAGGTTTACAAATCTCGCAGCCGAGATGCCACCAATATATCAATAAAAAGCCTGAAACACTACTACTAAAAACTACCCCCTTTCAAAAATGTGTTCTCTGGATGTTTCAGACCAAATCCAGCACTTTTAATTTGTCAATTTTTTTGAAAAAATAAAACCCTGAAAAGCAGCATCTCTGTCGCAGGTACCGGTAGATTTTCTGGGGTTCTACGTTTTCAGTGCAGTGTGGGTGGGGTGGTGTGGTTGTCGGACCTGTGTATGCATAAACAAAGGGGTGAAATCTGGCCAGGGTTTGGAAAAGTAGAAGGTCCATTGGAAGTGGTAAGAAATTTGACACACAACTGGCATTCCTTCTCCTGGCACCATAGAAACTGAGTCCACGCACATAGGGTATCTCCCTCCAAAAGGTGCATGTATCCTTTCCAAGTGCTTGTTTGCTCAGAAATCCCAGACGACTCGATTTTAGATCAATAAATACTGGCGCACCTTGGCTGAGATCTCGGGTTGGTCATGTTTGGGGTCTTGTTGTTGTTACTCGGTTGTATGTGTGATCAATTTTTGGAGAGGACAAAAAAGTCGGAAGTGACAAAAAAGGTGATTATTTTTCTATAGACAGCAGTATGACCCCAGAGTAACCTCCCTTTGCTTGTTGGGTTTAGGAGAAAGTAAGCTCGCTTGTTATTGGTGACACATGATCTCGTTCAAACTATTCAACCAATTGGACAGCCTGATGAAAACTGGGACAGGACACAAAGGAACCCTACCGCCTTAGCCCCTAGTGTTCTCCCCCCCCCCCCCAATCCATTAGAAACAAGCAAATTCCAAAAAGGTCAGTTTGAAGGACCATGTTTAGATCCCAGCAATAAAAACTTGAGAAAATAAACTGGATTAATTGATTAGCAGTGCCAATGAAAACCGGGGAGATATTTTCATCCATCATCAAAATGCCTTCCCCTTTCGCAAAGTGTGAGGCACACTGGGTATGGACCACGGCCAATAACAGGTGTCGGCTGGCAGTACGGACCAACCCCACTGAACTTGTCCCCGCATTCCATCAGGTAGCAGAACTCCGCATCACCACGGTAACAACTTCAGGGAGGGTAACCAAAAGTAGGTCACCTGTTGCAGTGTAAACTTCCTCAGCGCGCACAAAGTATCTGACCGAGACATTGGAATTTGAGGAAAGAGGTTGAAAAGGGAGCAGACAGGGCGATCCTCTGAATTATGGGGCCACCTCAGAGGGAACCTGAGAACTTTTCGGCGCTGCTGGCAGGGGAAGTGCAACAAGCACAAAGTACTTGAGTTGAGCCTGGATGGCCTGAGAGGCTTAGTAGTGGATGCAGAGATCATCTTACAGAGATACCAGTCAAATATGCCGGCCATGGCTATGAGAGATGCTGCTCGAATTCTCCAAGGAACAATCTAGTTGCTCCCTAACACTTTTTTTGGACTACTTTTTTTTGGAATCAAAAAAGGTTATCCAACCTTAAATAAGGGGGGGGGGAGATGGGGTGAAGGGACAGGGAGGTAACACATGCGGTCAGAGGTCACAGAGCATGACCACATCATCAAACAAAACGAAAGGGATCTGCAGACATAAAACCGGTGTCTCAACATTTCAAAAATGCAAGAAATGTTTACAAACAGCAAGCTGAATGGGTGTCAATGACAAGCTAGAGAAATCAATTCCATGATATGCTAACGAAAAGTGACCAAGCCAAATTGGTGACCATGCCAAATTGACGGAGCTTGTTTCTGAAGGTCTCTCACAAGAAAACCCTGTGTGGTCCTTTATGCTGCACATTAAGTTTTAAAAGTCGGCAGACATTATTGGGAATGATAGGACAACATCTCTACAAAACATTAGATTCAGAACGGTCAGCTGCGCTATGTCATGCCTTAAATTGCAACCACTAGTACTCCCACGCACGCATCTGATGTAATAAAAGGACTAGTGAACAAAACAACAATGCATTGGCAATTACCACCAGGCAAAGCTTTGTTCCGGAAATTGGAATGCACTCCCATTCTGATGTAACCTTAGGTCACCTCCTGATGTCCAGACCCCGTGGAATTCCAATTAAATCCCAGACTTATTTTCACACATTATGCAGGAATTGTCTGTCCCCTTATCTGGGCTTTGTTGTTCTTTTACTGATGGTGGCAGACCACAGAGGAGAAGGGAGGTATTACTTGGAATTTGGAAAGAAGGAAAGAAGGAAAGCAGCTGGTTATGGGTTATTAGGTGTCTTCAGCATCTTGCAATGCCATACTTTATAGGCGTTTTATTAACTGATGAAAAAAGGATGTCTGAAGTTTCTGGCAGAGTTTAGTCCAAATGTGTTTCACATGGGATCCTCGTGTGCTTCAGGCTAAGTTGAATTGGATTCGCATGAATTTTACAAAAAGCTCCATTAAGAACATGGCTTCAGATACATGAATTCTTGCTTGGCCTCCAATGAATAAAATCAGCTCAATGAGGTCCTTTAGGTAAATGGAATTCTGATTACTGTGTGGAATGCAAACCTTTTTTTTCAAATCAGCTGATGGAATTGAGGAATGTACATGTACATCCATTTAGTCTGAGGTATGGGATGTGGACGCCTTCCTGTTCCACAAAATATACCCAAGAGGGTCAATTCAATTATAAAATTGGTTTCCCTGAAAGTCCCTCTAGACATCTTTATGACCCCCCCCCCAAAAAAAGTATCCTCAAATATTTAAAGATGTGGTTTCTATGGTGACTAAAAATGTAAAAATGACTTATTTTATGACACAGGCTTGGGTTGGGTCACCGACTCCAAAATCCTGCTTTTCTCTTGCAGCAACAATCAAGAAACGCAGAATTTATTTAAACACTGACAAGGAAAATTTAAGTCAAGAAATAATTTACTTTTAAGGAACTAATGTACTGACTCTCTTCATATCTTTTTTTTTGGTGGAAACTGAATGGTTCTTATGAACTAAGTCAACTTCTTGACTGGAGAAAAATGAAGAATTTGAGTTGTGTTTTGTTTACTGCGCAACTTGCGCAGCGACAGTTCTTAAACCTTTTGAATGTCTGTGCCAGTGTTGCTATGGGAGTCCCGACAACCCGTCTAAGGGATTAAAATATTTCCAGGCAGTTGTTGGGTATCATTCTGGTGCCCTGAGCAAACTGAGAGCTGGCAATCACGGAAAACCTACAAGTGTATCAATGAGATTGAGACTGGTTCAAGCAGTAAAACTGCAGCTCTAAAAATTTCAGCTGGGATTAGCAGTGGTGTGGAAGACATGGTGCAACCACTGGGGATGCTGTGGTGTACTGACTCTGGGGAAAAGGGGCTCTTTTCGGTGCCGAATCTTTGAAAAGTGAACAGGTACCAAGATAGTTTGGGAATTGGCTTTTGGGAATCCATTCTTTTGAGAGCAAAAAGAGGGATAAGTTGAGAGGAAAATTGGCCCGGATTAGTAGCACGTTACAAGGAAGCCTGATTATGCGAAGCCTGCCAACTGCCAAGTTGGCAGAGAGGGATGCTTGAAAAGAATAGGAGATCAAACGCCTTAACTACGGCTCCACTTTAACTAGAGAGGTTTTTTTACCTGTAGGAAACAAAGTGCGTGAAGCGGTATCGTCTCAACACAAAGTTTGTTTGACTTGAAATGTGGACTATGAGAAACCCCGTGGTCAAAAGTTATATTTGCCCTGGGTACCCAAATGGGCGACACTCAAGACCAATCAAAATGCCTGCGGACACCAGTTGCTAGGTAGCTGTGGAGGGTCTTTAATTAGTGGTTGCTAAGGGACAGGTTGGCAAGCCTCCAGGCATGTTTAAAAAGTGAGGGAAAGGATTTGTTGGGTAAACACATGGTTCCCCCAGGGCCTTGTGTGCTGCAGGATTTTCCCCCTTCTGCATTCTATGAACCAATCAAAAAAGCACAAGCGCTAATTACTCACATGGACCCGTTGGGTAAATAGTTTTACCTGCGTGTTGACGCGCCACAGACAAGTCTCATTTACGAAGTTGTTCTTAAGATAAATTTACTCAGTTTACAATTGAGCACTGGCTGAGTATGTGGGGCTAACAGTGGGACAATGCCCGGGCTTTTTGGCTGTTGTACGAGTCATTTGAAGAAGAATGTGAACTTTTGTTCAAGTTGTGTACAGTGGGCCAAGGCTAACATTGCATTGTGAGGTAAAGTAATCCAATCCACTTCAGACAGTCATGAACACATCTGAGAGCCAGGGTATCTCTCGGCCAATCACAGTCCCGGTTAGAAACTTTTGACCAATCAGAGCCGAGATGTCTCTACCAAGTACCAGCCAATGATAAAGTGGTAACGGATGGATGCAGGAGCGAGTGGTACTTACTAATTCAATCTTCGTTATGCTGTGTAGTTGGTCCATCAGCTTCGGGATTGGCATATGTGATGAACCGTGCACTACAGCACCTACACTGCTAGCTGCTATAATTGATGGTGTTTGCCTCGCAAAACTATACTCTGAAAAACAAAAACAAAAGGGGACCATTATAAAGGAGTTTTTCTTTGTATTTCAAATATATTGTGAACGTTTTGCTACAAAACTTGCATGTTGTACAAACACTCAATATTATTGTTTTAAAGTGTAAAATAAAAAGAGTTTTTTTTAATATTTATGAGCAATTGTACAAATAATTTTTATATAGTTACCCCCACACTCACAAAAAGTGCATTGGTGAAAGTAATAATTCATTATTTCAAAAGTTCACATGCCCAAAACACACAAAATCTACAACTGGTTTGAGAGGGCACAATTGTGAGTTTCTCACCAGTCCCGAAAAAGTGTCAATCAAATAAATGGCCAGAAATATTCCAGTTGACTTTGACACAATATGGATCTTTGCACTTTTGTAGATTTATTAACAGCTGGACCTATGAGAACAGAGTTTACTGAATTTGGGCATAAATTATATCACTTCGTACCCACAAATCAAGGCAGTTTTACGTCTATACTGTAAATTAACGCCAACCCAAATATGACACTGGCACCATAACACGATTGTTTTGCTGTGTCAAAAGTTTAGCTCTTTTAATGCTCGTTTTCTAGTGGGTCTGGCAACTGTAGTTTCGAAAAAATGTGTCATGGAAATAATACAACAAGACAAAACAAACTCCCAGAGAGATTAACGGCAAATATTGTAAGAGCATGACATTCGATCATAAAACATGTACCCGGTATCTATGGGAAGGCAGGGCAAAATCTTCAATGTGATGTGAAATTATCACCACTTTGTCACAAAATGTAACATTAGGCCAGGCACATTATATCAACCTACATTAAACTAGGTCAGGTTACTTCAAAATGATACATGTACATGCATTCTGTAAAAAGTTCTGTAAAAAGTGGGCCCACCCTATAAAGGCAAAGCACCCATTCTCTTTATAGTAATTATACTCTATTATTTGCCAATGAGAGGCGAGGAAGTTGAGAATTTGAACTATCCTCTTTTGCCCAAACACTTTAATTGTCCAAATTTTGTCACCCTATCTTAAGCTGGCCTTATTTAAGGTTGGTTCGTACGGTGTCAAGTGTCAACTCATTTCATGCAAACACCAAAACTTTTGTGAATTTGCAACAGAATGACACGCCATAATTTCAGATTTGTTCATTTTCCCACAGCCAGTATGGGCTCTTGCGCAACAAAGTGGCATTTGAACAAAGAAGACATTTATCCAAGGATCTAAGTAAACCAACACTTATTATTCTGTTTCAGATAATAAAGATTAGAATTACATGTGCATGTGAAGTGAATGACCCCTCCCCACCAGCAAAAATTCTCTGCCCACAATTGGCCACAAAATACTTTACTGGTCTCAGTGTTGTTCCCTTTAAATCCACCACAACATCTGACCACTGTACATGTACATGTACCATGGCCTGATTCAGGCATTTCCATACAGTGCTGCAACAATAGGCGATGGGTCAATAAAGCCTAGGCAGCCCTATAGAATCTTTTGAAAACTCCAGCAGGATACTGGAGCGCTCCCCTGAAAGGGGGCCATGCTGCCAACTCAGATACCTCTTGAAATACCGCTTCTCTTCTCTGAGCACTTAAGCCCCTTGAACAAAATGGGATGCCTTACGGGCCGAGTTTCTCAGGAAGCCCTTAGAAGAGGCCAAAAGTTTGTTTTGCATTGCAGCCGGGGGAAGTTCTCAGGCTCAATGTGTGTTTGCCACTTCTTTTGGGAAGGGCAAAGTTGATTATCCAATTTCAACCAGGAGAGGAGAGCGAATGATAACAGGGTAACCCTAATTTTTGTTTCAAGGGGGCTCTTCTGCTGAAGATTAAGTACAAAGCATCACATGAAGATGTTGAGTTGTATGAGAATCTTTTAGGGTAAATAATGGCATTTGGGTTATTTCATCTTTCTCTGTTTTTTTTTTTTTCAGTGAAATGCAAAAAGTGAGGTTTCGCAGAGATGGTGGTCAATGCTTTTACGGGTCGAGGGTCAGTGATTTCAAAAAGGAATAAAAAGTGTGAGTTGTGTGTACATGCAAGAATTTTCGCCCAAAATTATTCATTGCTCAATCATGCGGCTAACTTTAAAGGTGGTTCAACTGCGACAGTTATTAAAGGCATAATATTTGGATAGTCTAAAGAGGAAAAAGTGTATTATATATTGCAATGAACGAATGAAACATGATGAATAAGAAAATACCAATGAAAATCTACTTGTTTGAGAATTTCATGATGCTCATATGTAAATAATTTGTTTTCTACTAAACTAACGTAAATAATCAAGTTTCTGCTATGGTGCAAAATCTTCATTTTATCATTTTTTTCCCCCTCCAAATTAAACATTAAAAATAATTTTCAGGTGTAGTTTTTTTTTAATCAAACCTTCTAACTTTTGAATACTTTTCAGATGTATTTTTTGCTTATGATGTGTGCTCCCGACTTACTAAGACAAAAATAAGACTTCAATTTCCCCTTTGAACGATTGCAACCTTTTTGAAGGGTGACCTTTACTTTGTCTTTTTTTGACTATAACTAGCTTTGTTGTACATGAAACTGAAATTCAAGTCTTCTTTAAACTTCCTTTAAACTTAAATGGGGAGACAAAGGTTTGTATTGTATGTATTTTTGGACCGTGTGGAATGCCGATATATTACTTCTATTGTTAAAAGTGCAACTTTCCTTTTTGCCAGCGATTGTTTGTTTTCTGCATATTCACGGTTCTCTCTTATGCTTTCATTTTACAATAAAAAGCAGGACAGTACGAATGCCGACTGCAAATACACAGAGGTGTCAAGTTAAACGTCCTTTTGCTTAAAGGAGGTTTGCAATTTTCCTCCGTTTGTTAGTTTGGGGATCGAGTGACAAACTGTTCAACTACAAGTTTAGTGCTCGTGGAATTTGATGGCAAGGGATTTCAGTAACTTTTGGCTCTTTAAACTATTCACAGATTTCTGGGGGTTTTTTTTGGGGGGGGGGGGATCATGTGGGCCACACTTTTTAAACCAGGGAACACAGTTGTGTAAACCTGAATTTACGATGTTTGGAGTGGAAATAAGGGTTAGGCATTTGCTTGTAATTGCCAATAGATTTCTACCACTCATTTCCTTGCGTTAAAAAACATGGAATTACAACACAGGCGTTTTCAAGGTTCTTTCCTATAACCCAATAACCACACTTGCTGTTCCCAAAGAAAAGGAACTTTGTTCGGAATCACAGGCGCCAATTCCATCAACCTCGCCTGACTAAGAAATCTAGCTTGCTGGTTGGGTGGCTACATATTGAGTTACTGGTGAGAGAAAAAAAGAAGAGGACTGCTTAATGGTGAAACCTTGTTGGCCGATCTGGTAGCACTATTCATGCAGACTGACTTTTTTGGGGGAGGGGGAAGAATAGTTTAGAAGTACCTGTATGTTGTAACTGACTATGGGCTTGCATGTTCATATGTCTTAACTGATACAAAATCCCCAAATCAGGAGGAAAAGAAACCTCCAATACTACTACTGATATAAAGAGGCTTCTTTTAATTATTCTGTTTATAGTGTTGGCTGGACACTTCGCATGTAGGCTGGGCATTTCTTCAATTCTTGTTTTTATTCCATGGGCATGGGGCCATAGAAACTGTCTGGGAAGCTGTCTGCACATTCCACAGCCTTTTGTGTCTCCAATCTTATTGTGTAATGTGTGTGCCTATGACACCCGCTTAAGCCCTGATCAATGCCCTCAGCCCATTGGCGGCCTTGTTACCATGCACAGCGCCCTCTGTTGGTAGGTAGTATAAACTACAGTGATGATGAATAAGCTTTTTTCCTACTGTACTTGTTTTGCAGACACTAGCACTTTATAACTTATTGATATTTTTTGTTATATTTTAAGGTTGAACAAAGAAAATTAAATGGAGTGGGGTTTGAACCTGCGACCTCCGGATTACTGTTTCAGTGCTCTACCAACTGAGCCAGTTGCCTTATGTGGTTTCTTTGAAAAATTATTCTTATTTTGTATGACTGACTTCCTCCCTGCATGCTCTCAGTACTTTCAAACCAAACAATAACTGGAATAAACTAGGATAAAACTAATACCAAACAAAGTTTTTTAATAAATAATAATAAAAAAAAAAAATTAAAAATTTCTGTAAATTAAAACTTACCTTCAGAAAGAACATTTTAGAGGTATGCATCCAACCCTCACAAGTAATATTTCAATATCGGACCAGAGATTTGAATAAATCACAGAACTCGGACCTGAAGTTCCTTTCGGAGATTACTCATAATCCAGATGGAAAAACGGGACACATCAGTATTTCTTTAAAACGATGCTTTGGGGCCCTGTACGCTCAAGTTACAATTTTTTCCAACCCAAAAAAAATCTTTACCTGTTGCGCACAGGGCGATGAAAGTCTGAGCGTGCCGTCTTATTCTCTGGGCACACTCCTTTGAGATGGGTAGTCTATGGAGGATCTGTTCTAAGAAATCGTGCGGAGTTATTGCAGACAGGTCCCATTTTAACCTACGGAGTACAATCAGTTCAAAATGCTGCAGAGAGACAAGAAAGAAAGAGAAAAGAAACCAGACAAAAATTAATCGATTGAAGGAATAATGAAGAGTATGATTTAATTATAGCATTGATGTCATCACATGCATATAATTTACTTAATGGATTGAATATGTTACAACATATACCATAACACCAAATACACTAATCAGCCTACATTAAAAAAACGGACTTAGGTTTTAGATTTTATATTAAGAGCGTCCTACTCTCAATTATGCCAGTTCTGTATCTCGATGAAGTAGTCAGGTCAAAGGTCATTCGGGATAAAATCAATGACGCGATGGTATGCGAACGCCCATTCATTCTGCTAGTAATTAACACGAAAGCATCGTGCGCCTGTCTCCACTCTTCCTGAGCGTTCATGCGCCTTCAATGAGCGTGCGATTATCCCAAATGACTCGTGACCTATTTATTGTGCGCATAGGCAGTTGAAATACCAAACTGGCTTATTCCAAAATTGCTAATTTTTTTCACGCATTTTGTGTTAAAAAACCCACCTTTTCCTTACAAATACGAAGCTAAATTCAAACAATTCATTTATAATTTTACTCTTTTTGACTGGTGACGGAAAACGGAAATAAACGCCTCTCTCTCCAAAACAAATATTTATATAATGAAGCCAAAAAGTGGCTTGATCCAACCTAACCTAGGTTCTTGTGTATCCAATGTCAACACATTGGAAAATCAAATTAATGACGAATGAATGGTTTTAACTTGTCCAATTAGTAACCACAGAGTGGTTGACCACCAGCACTGCACTATCTCCTAATGTAGGGTTTCTTACTGCCCACACAGGAAATATCAAATTTAGTTAACCTCAAAAAAGAGCAAGCCAATTAAACACAGGCCCATGGAGTTTATAAACAGCATCATTCATGGAAAAATGTTCCCAGGGAAACCACGAAAATTACACAGACCACAGACCGAGATAAAGGGAACACTGCCAGGTCAGGAGTATACCACTGGAAATTTCTTTCTAGAACAAGAGGTACCCCCCTGCCCCCTCCCCCCCCCCCAAAAAAAAACCCCAAATATATTAACAAAATTTGAATATAAATAAAATGTTTTAAAAAATGGGTTTTTTTTTTTAATAAAACAATCGAAGATAAATTAGAATAAAAAAATTATATAATCTATTTCCCCAAAGATAACAAAGTTTTTACTTTGGGTTTAAATTCACTTTTTTGAGATATTGGTACTTGATCAAATACTGAACAGACTAATTAATTATCTGCACCAGCAGCAAATTTTCTATATTGACAGAAGTCTAATTTAAAGCCAGATGGATATTTAGCCAGCCAAACACTTAATCCTCAAACTAAGTTACCCTACCATCAAAACCACAATTACTCTTGTATTAATTTATAATGAGTAAATGTTTTAATCAAAGGACCTCTTCCCCAAAATGCAACCTTAGTGATCAGTTATAGAAGGTTTTCATCCCTTTGAATGTCCATTGTCCCCACAAACAAATGATGGCATCCTCCTTCCATCAATGCCCCCCCCCCCCCCCAATCAAGCTCTTCTTCAGACACATCCCCCCCCCCCCCCGCCAAAAAAAAATCCCCCGCACCGCGCAACGCGTACGTACGGTCCCCGGATCTTTTTCAGCAATGTTCATGGGGCAATAATTAATGTCGATATTAAATACAGGATAAATGTAACAAATTTTCTCCAACAACTCCCATCACCCAGTTGATTAAAAACGTACTTCGGTGGCAACGAAAAAAAAACTCAGTTAGCTCACGGATCCTCTACACAGCCGAAGCAAGGCCATATAAAAATAGCACAGACGAAGTACTGTTTCCAGGCAGATACTCCACCCCCCAAAAAATAGATACATCAGTTTCGGGACAGAAGTGCTACAATGTATCCTTTTTGGCCCATATAATTTCAGAATCTCCGACCTCCCGTTCCTCTAGTGCAGCGCGCGGCGCCGCAAAATCTACCCTCAAACTCAGCGCATCGCAGACACAATTTTTTTGTGAAACTTTTTTTTATCACCGCTATTCTCCGCAATGACGAAACTTCAGATGAGATTTGGGTGGACTTATTTCCGGATCCACCAGATGTGGCCTCAAACAAACTCGCAGCTGGGAAACTCATGGTTCTGTTAAGTGGGGTTTTATCCGCCGATTTCTTATCAGAGATCCACCGCAGGAAGCAGGCCATTCCCCAAAGGCACTTCAACCACTTGTTAAATGCCGGCCACCGGTACAGATAAAAGGAATTTTAAATCCATCTTTTTCCCCGGCTGTCCTTAAAAAAATCGGGAAAAGGATCGTCATGTTTAAAAATGCAGACACCAAATGACACTGTATGACAGTGTTATCTGCTACAATACAAACGGAAATTACTAAAGTTATAAAATTGATTTTTTTTTTGGGGGGGGGGATACTTACTAATAGTTGATCCAAGGTGATGGAATTGTCGGTATAAATGATGAGTTTTTCGGCTGTTAGAGGTAAGGTGTCCTTTAATTTGGATGCTAGGAACATACAGGCGGCACCGAGAAGTTGGAATTGACTTCGCTTGATGCGCTGCACGGCAAGAAATCTGTCTAAATAGTTCATTGCAAGTGGAAACACCTCTTCTTCACATTGTTGCTCCTCACAAACCTAGAAAAAGGTAAGAACAGAAGACGTTATTTTTGCTGAACAGAAATTCTTTGAATATATTTAGACGCGGTTCAAATTGAAAACCGCAATATTGTCGGACAGACAATGAAAGTGGAAACATGGTTGTTAATTGTTATCAACCACAAAATGCACGATTGCGCTAACACTAAGCAACAGTAACTATAAACATCTCAGGTTGTAAAATAAAAAAGTGCAAGAAATATGAAAAGCGCCAGAAATATTAAGAGTTAGTCTAGGAACATTATCTTCGTTTTTTAAACTTGCGGGAATGACTTTTTCAGGGTGAAATAATACCTCAACCCGAGAGTCAAAACAATGGCGCGCCATATCTTTAATATTTTGGCGCGACTTTTTTTATTTCGATCGAAGAGACACAGCTTCACAGTAAAACCAACATTCAACAGAGGAAAAATATTTCCTGCAAAGCACATTCATTGAAAGGTTTCTTTTAATTTAAACTTCTTTTAACGGTTTCAGCTGAAGTATAAAGAACAACGAAAAAAGGTTCATGAGATTGAGAATATTCCAAGCATATAGATCCACGTTTTCGGCATGATGTTGGGGCCCTGTTAGTGTTATCACTGCAAGTTTTAGCGCCAAATACCCCCGGAAATTTAGTGGTTCGAGAGGAAACAATTAATATTTTATTTAAAGCTCCACGAGGAAACTGAAGAAAATAGCGGGAAAATCAGGAATAATTGGAGGGAAATGTCAAGAGGCGGTCGGCACCACTAGGTTTCTCAGAAAGAAAATCATGGGGAGATAGCATTTTTGGTTGCGAAAACAAGTGGATACATCGTAAGCGCCGATGCTAGGCGCGCAATAAGTTCAGGCAAGGTGTTTGTCTCGCGTCTTGCGATCGTCTCCATCGGAATTCGTCTACTTATTCAATAGGATCTGGAATTCCTTTACATAGAAAGAAAGCTTGTTTCTGTTAAATAATTTATAACGATCGAGCAAGCTATCACAGTCAGTATCAGGTGCTACAAAAGTACAATATTATATATTTTCACGCAGAGCACAAGGACCGGTTTTTTTGGTCCTGCAAAAAAAGCCCCAAATGACCGAAATGCGGAGGAAAAAAGCTGGGCCTACATCGAAAAAGGCTCAACCTAACTTCGGGGTTTACGCCACAAACGAAATAATGTTTACATCTGTTCAATACGTCTTGTAAATAATATCTCTCACAATTGGCACATGCAACTGAGCGCTGGACGAAATAGGCTCATCATATTGGTCTTCGATTCTAAGATTTGTGACAAATTACGATTTCTTTTGCTTTTGGGTTCAGCTTCGCTTTCTGCAGCCGCACCGCAGCTACAGCCAACAAAAAGAAGTAGGGGCCTACGCGTCCCTTGCCGTTCATCATCATGCCGCAAAATGGTAGTCTATTTCCTAGTTTTGCAGGAAAATTAATCTCCGTTTTAAAGTTTAAAATTCTTGAAATAATAACAGTGATAAAATCTAAATGCTGTTAAAATTCAAAACAAATTATAAATAGGCCTACAGCATTTTACCCCATGAACATTTTAATATCAACCGTCATGACCGTTCGTGCCCGCGTACCCGCCTAGACAGGGGGAAAGCGTGCAATCCAGGTTAGGGTAAGCTCGGTCCCGGCGCGGCCGGCCAACCAAGCACAAGGCATATGCAAGCACCCGAGCTTGAAATTAGGCCGGCCTAGGCCGGCCTACCATCATGACCATGGGCCTACATCGCCGTCGATTGGTGGGTCGATTGGCATGGTCATGTTGGTGGGAGATTCTTCAGGCAAAATGCAGGGAGGTTTTAAAACAGTTGCAGAAATAAAATGTACAAATATCATGACACCAGCTGAAGTAAAAAGGAAAATTCTACTCACCTCGAACACCCACTGCGCGACCATTTTCCTCATGAAAGGTTTAATGTCTGTCTGAAATTGGTTCCCAAAATAATCCGAGCACGGCGTGTATTTGTCCTCGGCTTCGAGAAGATTCCGTAGTACTCTGTCGTCGTTTAGTAAGACTGGATCGAGGTAGGCTCTTCGTACACTTTCAACTTCACAACATAGAAGTTCTAATTGTGCCATGATTTAGAATGTTTGAAGGAATTAATCAAGCTCACAACCAGTTTTTCTGGAAGACTTTCTGAACAGAAACGAAACAGTGGAGACATAGAAAAAAAAAGTAACTTCCAAGGAGATACAGTGGGGTTTTTTTTCAGTTGAGGGCCGTGCTTACCCCCTTTGAATCAAAGTGTTTCCCTTTGACCAATTAACTCTCTGTTTTGATGGAAAATCAGGAGTTTTTTGGTCGGGACTCGCTGAGATATTAATGGCGAGTTTGGGGTGCTTCCTGTACCCACACGGCCCTTCGACTGATCACAATTGCGGCAGGCCGGCGGTACACAGTACACGTACGTACACTGTGCAAAAGGTATACAACAAGGGCCGGTATGCGTACACAATCGTTGGCTTGATGAATAAACATTAGCACGTGGCACCGATCAGCTGTTCATGCATTGCATGCAATGCATGCAGACGACGATGATACGGGGTCACGTACGTACGTATCTGCAGTGCACGTGTCGTGCTTGTCAGTGTGACACGTACTTAAGTCGCGTACGTCTGTAGCTGTCTACGTAAAAGAACCACACACGAGTTATAACGTCATAATGACGTATGTTTTTTTTTGTCTTGTCGGTGCCTGATAAAGCTAAAGACGATAGCCAACATCAACAAAAGGAACAACATTGAAGGCACGCAAGAAATGTACATGGCACATGCTCGCATAACACCGTATTGAGCTACGTTTTCTGATAGTTATTGAACATGTTATTGAAAATACTGATTTCGAGTTTAACATTTTGTTTTAATAATTATATTCTTCAAAGTAATCACGAATGCATGTAAAACCACGTGAATAGCGTACGATTTTATCCCACCTGTCCACATGATTTTATTTTACAGTTTGTCATACCGAGATATAGTGGCGTAACCATGCTTTCTATGCCCCCTTTTTTTCCCTTTTCTTAAGCCTGCATGCATATGCGACAGCTGCTCATTCATTCCCACAATGATGGCCCCCAATGGGACACCCCTCTTTGGTTATTTTGCCCCTTCCCGGACAGTCCCCCCGCTGGGCTAGGCAACGCACCTGCTGACCTGAATACAGCCTGGGCGAAAATGGCGTTAGGATCTTTTGTGTGTGCGTGCAGCCCACGTACCCTATCGCCCACCACAAGCCCGGACAACTCGCACATAAATAGTGCACACAAAAAAGTTCCTTTTCAGAGTCCCGCATTGGTGGACCATTATAAAGATTGTGTCAACGATCTTTGGTAAACAAAAGAACGAAACCACAAAAGATAGTGAAACAGGATTTTGCTCTGCGAGTTGTTTCAGCTTGTTGCATTCCGACACATCCAACGCCCGATACAAATCGTTCTGCTTTAGTCTTTGGAGCAGATTTGCACCTCTGAAATTACCTCCGGAGTTTCCTAAGTGTTTTTTTTTCGGTCTTAGTTCTGGCATGGAGGTAGAAAACATTACATGGATCGTGTTCCAATCTCATTAGAGGCAACATTCACAGTGAGGTTTGTTACAAACTTTTGGTTTAACACCATAACACCAGTATATCACGCGAAACACTTACTTGGCACCCGACAAAACAGTAAAACGCAAGTTCATGCCCACACCGATTTATTACGTGACCGACCATGCACGTACGTATGCAACTTAAATTTTTGCCGCGAAAATTAAAACCTTTGATGGCGAAAATTAAAACCTTTGATGGCGATAAATTCACCCTTCCTCAGAACAAGTCTTCCCACCAAAATAGGTTAAGATTAGGGGTGATCAAGAACGTAGAAGTGTTTACAGCCTAAAATAATAGTTTAATGGCTTTTAACGCACTTTCAAAGAGCAGTGGTTGCATTCTTCGGTGTTGAACCCATGCGTTCGTTACAGCTATGAACAAAGACTGAATACTTATATCAGTACATGTACCTGTGCCCAAAGCGTGTACATGAATGCAGAAAATGTCCATGTGTGCGCCCACAAAGCATGGCCCCGTCCCGTTCGAGCTTTCGCAGCAAATTTCATGCGCAATTTATGCAAATGCTCACATGGCATGAATCCAGGATTCCAGTCTCTATTTACCATGGTGAAACGAAATTACTGTAAATTTAATGGAGAAGCTCAAGTGGGATGCAAAAATCAGGCACCACCCTAGTAGGCTCCTATAGCTGTTACAATAATGTGTCCGAATTTTTTAATGTCCCCGAACTTGTTTTCTTTGTTGTTTTAATTTTTTTTAAAATCACATTTAGAAAAACAAAAAATGGAGGGAAAACCTCGTCGCTTGCCTTTAATCTCGCGATAGGCCTCCCTTTCTTTCACTACGTTACAGAATGAACACGTATGGTCTAGCGAGACTTCACATATTCTGTCCCCGTTCTGGTATCCCGCCAAAATTGTCTGTACGCCCTCCCCTTTGGCTCACCCGAGCGCTTTGATGGACAATTTGTCAGGTTAAAGGACCACACCATTCCCAGCCATTTTCTAATTCCCTCGAAAAAGTCTGCCTGGGAAAAACCGCACACATTTTTCTCATCATTGGGAACAGGAAAGTTAGTTTCAACAACACGGAAGATTCACATGCACCACAAACTCTCTTTCCTATTTAGTCCAATCCCTGGGACTTGTACAACATTCAGCGAGCTAGCAACTTCGATTAATTAATTGAAGATTTCTTTAAAAGTTTTGGAGAACTGTTAGGTAATGCTAGGGGGCCTATCGCTCCCTGTTATGCCAACACTGCATATGCCTTTAACGTGAGATAGCTAGAAATAACTGTACCAGCTAGCTATACTAGCTAGGTACAGCACAAGTTGCGAGGCAGAACCTGCTATTTATAAAACTATACTTTTGAGTGACAGACCCCGGCCAGGCCCCTCCTACCTGGACCATGGGGTTTGCATTGGCGCAAAAATGAAACTACATTTTTCCAGCCTCTGTTGTTCGCTGCATGAATATTCATTTCTTTCTCTATGCCAATACGTACGTAGCCCGGTTGTCAGGTGGTTACTAGCATGTTACCAGTAACTCATCAGTGCTCAAAACTTAACTTTTCCTTTGTTTTGATGCGCATGCGAAGTAGGCCCGACTCCTAACCCCTTCCCGTTGTGTTAGATTTCCAACTTATCACGCATAGGCCTACTTCTTCCCGCCTAACTGTTTTCAAAATTATTACCAAATCGTTAATAACTTCTGGTGTCACAAAACCTGACAACTTTCACGAAGGTTTTCTTGTAAAGCTCTAAAAATGCAAAAGACGATTACTAGTTGATAATTTAAACCAAACCTGTGGGCAAAAAGGAGGGCCAAATGTTTCCCGCCTATTCTCAGGCAAACAATCAATCGTGGAGAATCAAGCGTTTCCATTGGTTGAATCTCAGCGCAGCGCATACCATCGGATTCAATGCGCTCAGCGCATTTGCCGTTGATACATTGGTCCTTGCTGCGGGAATGCACGTGATAATTTTACAGGTCTGTATATCGTATCACGTTGGTACTGAGTGTATAGAAAAGTGTGTGTGGGTGGGTGTAGTATGCGTCAGCATTCTTATCAATTCGAAAGTTTGCTGAAATACCTTTATCATTAGGCCTATTATTATGTATTTTCTGGTAACGAAACCAAGGATTCCTTACTAAGCTAGCACTTTAGGCTGTAGCTCGCAAGCCTGAAAAAATGTATAGGGGAAACAATGAGAAGAATTACAGTTTTAGAGCTAGAGGCGGGAGAAAAACCCAAAAGAACTAGGGAAACCCACGGTATCAGGAAAAGACTGAAAACCCAATCCACATGTTTGCCCAGGCGGGATTCGAACCCGGGTCACAGCGGTGGAAGCCGGAGGAAAGTACCCCTGCTATAGCTGCATGAACTATGTCAGAGTTCCTTTCTTAATTAAACTCAAGACTACGAACAAATTGAAAGTTATGGTCGTAATATTTTAAAGCGAGATATCAAAGCAGTTTTCTTTTAGATTGTATTCCCCGTTCTGAGAGTTCTATAATCGAAATTCCGATTCGATTTCGGCTTCTATTTATAGGTAACAACAAATACTCGGATAAACTGGGAAAAGTTACCCTACATAATGAAAAAGACAAGGCAATATTTCAGCCTCAAGGGGCGATGTAGAAGTAAATATGGATAAATATTGCTATGCAGTTTTGCACACCTTCAATAGGCATATTGTCCAAGTTCCGCACGTACATATTTTTGATTAATATCCATTAAATCCCGTTCATTTTGCCGTGGAAACCAGGGCGATAACACTATAGCATGGCCCAAGCTTTCAATTCATATCGATCTTTTGCCACGACTTGTTTCATTTGGGATCAATGGTCAACGCATAACTGGCATTCCATTATTATGTGGCCAGAAACAAATGACCTTGTACAATAGCTCACTGCCCGGTGAGTGCCCATGCCCATTGTTGTGGGTCTTGTAAAGTGGACCATTTTAATAAAAAGGGATCAGATCGTGCCACTGGGACATTATAAGGCGATGGACAGTCATTTTTATTAGCCATCGAGATTGGTGGGACAGTTGACTCAACACAAAATCCAAGCTGTCCAACAACCAGGCGTGAACAGTGCAGCAAAACCTTCGTTGCATACTTCCAATCTGTCTGCAAAAGAGTCTCAAATTCGAAATATATGCGAACTTATTCGTTTGACCCGTTTTTCTCGTTCCGTGTTGTACGCTCAACTATTGCACCGCTGTCCCACTATCTGAGCTGAGACGGTCCAACAACGACTTTCGCAGCATTTTCACACATCCACATCAGAAAAGTAACTTTCCTTGCCAGTGCATTATTGCACACTATGCGCAGTTCATGCATAGGGCCTAACTGTGTAAGTCGGAAAGCAGAAGTATCGTCAGTGGAAAACCACTTTGCGATACAAATTAGACATTTCCTGCGAGGATAAAAGTGCGGACGGACGAGACGAGCTAGACATCAGCTGTTTAGGGTCACCTCCTCGGCTCATCAACGACTGTTACATGTCACATGCGAAAGAGCGGTTCGTCAGCCATTAGCTCCACAATTCGGCTCGCAACATTTGGAAGTTTTTTTATCGCAAATGTAAAAATCTATATACGCAATATTAATTTCATTGTTTTTTTCCACTCCCCAAAGTAGAATAAAAGTGATCTTATGTGAAATCCGTTTCCTAAGAATGATGCTGTAACGAAACAGCCGTTATAACAAACACCACTGAATCCGAGCGGTGTTCAGTGCACATTCCGAGACGATCTCCTGGTCATTTCCCACGCTTTTGAGAAAAAAAGAAGAATCTCATGTCCTGTTGCGGAACTTCTGAAGTCGACGAGCCGATGTCCTTTTGACCTTCTTGTGT